ACAACATATTTTCTTGATCGAATGATGTGTCTCGGTATTTTCCATTTTTATATAGAAAAGAATGACTTGGTCTAAGTGTGATTTTCATTAGTTAAAATTTGTAATTTATACACAATATGACAATAATAATAGATGGATGAAAGTTCAAATGAATGGTCAAAAATCAATTTCGTAGATTTCTTAAATAATATGTTGGATAAGATAATGACAAGATTTCAATCTAACGGTTTCTAATATGTGAGATCTAATGAATGACAAGATAATTTTATTTTCTTAAATAGTATCATATATGTCTATAAAATACACATAATGGCGCTACACAAACATCACTAATTCTTCTCTTAGGTAAAAAAAGAAATGTGTTTTAATATATAAAGATCCTTTTTTTCTTTCAAAATTCATCTTTTTCATATTCATTTTTTTAATCTCATATTCATTTGATGATAAATACAATTACAAATATTATATGTAAATATAATAGAAAGTAACACACATACCATACTTACAATATTATGTGTTCAATTGTTTTCATATTTTGTTGACCGAATGATGTGCCATACAACAACACATCTTTGTTGACTGAATGATGTGCTCCATTTTTCATAATTTTGCGTAAAAATAAGGAATTGGTTTAGAAGTGTTGGTTTGCATCGATCAAAGCCTATTATTTATACAAACATCACCTGTACTTTACCAACTCACCCAAAGAAACAATCACGTAAGTCCTTTAAGCTTTTATATATGGTCATGCAGTTGTATATCGTGACAGAATAAATGATTATCGTAATTTTTCAATGATTACTTTTCTAATAATTATGTGTATGGTGAAATATAGAGTTCCGTTGTTGATTCCGAAAGTGACATAACTTTTTTCATATTGTTGATGCTATTAAACAATACGGCCCTGTTCTTTTAAGAGTCGTGCGATTCTAACTAACGACTGGTTTTAAAACGACTGAGTTTTATTTTGGTTTTTTTTATAGAAAAATTGGGTTGTGTCGTACAGATTTGTAAATTGGAGAAGAAGATAAAAATAGTATAGTTCTGTAAATCTCAGAAAATGGCAATTTGATTTTAAAAAGCAAGCGACGGTCGCTACTTCAAGATAAAAGCTTGGGTTGTATCGATGATTTCTCCGGCGACTCCAAATTCTTTAGATTCAAGTCGCGGCAACAGAGATGAAGAAGAGGTGAAGAAAGGATGAAGGAGGTGTAAAGGCAATTTTCCGATCGTCAGTCGCTGGAGAAATCAGCTCACTCCCGAACAGGGCCTATGCCAACTATTTTAATCAACGACGTGATGTGTCTGGTAGATTGGGCTTATCAATCCCTGCAAAAAGTAAATGATGTTATTCAGATTTTAGCGTATGTTATGCCTCCTAATACCACAGAGGATTACATCAAAATAAGAGAGTCGTTAGCAACTGAATGTATAACTTGATTTTTTTGTACAATTGCAGCAGTATTTTTTGGAGGGGTATCCCAGAACTCCAATGGCAAACGATGTTGATGTGTTTCTTTTTTAGCGTCTTTTGTCCTTTGTCTATTGTTCGTTTTGAGTCGTTTATCGCATCTTTGTTCTTTTTTGTGTCTTTTTGTGTCGTTAGGAAGCTATGCTGGAGTTGAAGGTTTTTCTTGTCAAAAACGGGTGTTAGGAGAAGAAAGGAGAAAATGGTGATTCAAGAAAACTCCGCTGGAGAATTGCATCGGGCAGCTCCCTGATGTCCCAGCTCCGGTTTTCCTGCCTAATCCTGCTGGAGAATGTCATCAGGCAAATCTCATCGGACAATTCCCTGATGTCCCAATTCCGATTTTCCTGCCCAACTCTGCTGGAAAATCGTATCTGGCAAATCCATCGAGCAACTACCTGATGCCCAGTTCCGGTTTTCTTTAGCCGGATTTATATTCTATTTTCGGTAATTGACTAATTGGGTATAAAACCCCAGAGACCTAATTTTTCAAGACACGCTTTCTTTTCTTCAACTTTTTGAGAGCTTTTTTGTAGCCACAACTTTGGGATTGATGATTCATCCTCTTTGACACTTTGGAGAAGATTTCTAATCCTTTTTATTTTATATTTCATTAATCTAAAAAGGAAAAAAAATAACAAAAAAAAATGGCGCCGGTGCCGGAGACCAATTGCGTTACCTAAAGATTTATGATTAGTTTTTAGTCTAGAGCATTTTTATTTATTGCTAACTTTCATTTGTTTTTCTTTTTCTTTTATACCATAGAATACAATAATTAGCCACAAGAAGAAGATGATGAGCCAAATGTGGAGCCACCATTTGATGAGAGTGTTCTTACACCCGAACAAAAAGTGAAGTTAGATGAACTTCACATTGAACATCCGACATTGGTAAGGAGTGATTTAGCGATTTTTATCCGGTTGAACCTCTTATCACTTCGGGCAGCATGTGAAAAAAGAGAACTTACATTCAACCCTTGAAAAGGTAATATATATATTGAGTTCCACCAAGCGAACTAGAAGATACATGCGTTTCAACTTTCAACCCTTAAAATTCATGATGTTGAGGATATTCAATGGAACAATACATCTTCAGCCAATAATTTTGAAGATGAATCACCCTAAAAAAGAGGGTTTTTATTGTCGCTTAGTTTATTCACAGATTGCATCACCTCTTTAAGCGGACTTGTTGGGTTTCTTGTGGGTAGTAGAAAGCCTTAGTAACATGAGACAAAACATATTTATTTTTGAACTTTAATTTCTTCTCATCAAATAGTAAAGGCGATTGAACATCCACGTCGGTTTTCCCTGATTTGTCAAATGATAGCCGAGTGTTGTAAATTCCTCGATAGTATTATCGAATGGAAAATAGAATGCACACTAGAATAATGCAAATTGGACTGCAATTGAGATTTCCAAAAGCATCACGAGAGATCACCTTTATCAATCTTACATCTCTAGTGAAGTGTCTTCTTGGTTACAGGACAAGATCTTGTCAAAAGCGAGAGAATTTGATTAATCGTGAAGGTGATCTTTGGTTGTTTTAGACTGATATGGTTTTGAGATATTATTGCTCTGCTTTGTTCATATTTTCCCTTTGTGCACAAATTGATGTCTTTTGTTTTGCTTCCTTATGTATTTGGTTACGTTTCATTTCTTTAATGGAGTATCAATTAAAAGAGTCTTTATGTAAGATGCTCTAATTCATTACAATTTACAACTAACTTTAACAATTAAATTTTCTTCTAACTTATATATATTTCAAAATACTACCATTATGAAGTAAAACTACCATTAGGTGGCATTGATTGGTTTGCTTTGTCCGCGTGTAAATGTTGGTGTTCTTCTTTGGCTTATCCTCAGCCGTTTTCAAAGATTTTTTTTTTTACCTAGTTTCGCTTGAGCTCTTTCTGCTTCTGGAGTTAGCGTGGTGGTGTTTGTTTGGTGTGCTCGTTTCTCGGATTATTCCTTCTCTCGGTTATGTCGGGTTGTGGCTAGTTGAGCTCTCGGTTTAGTTCTTCGGATTCTCCGGTCTAATGGAGATTGTCTGGTTGTTTGTTTCCTTCCGAGGCTCATGTTTCTTAGTTCAGCTCCGACACCAACTGTTTCTCTGAGATTGTTTGCGGGTTCTGATGGTTTCGAGTTTCAGATTTAGTTCTTAGGATTAGTGTATTTTGTTTCCCTTTTTTGGGCTTAGTTTTCCGGAGATATTTACGTCTTCTGCCAGCTTAGTTTCCGAAAGAGTTTTGTCTTTTGTCGGCTTTGTGTACCAAAATCGTATTCTACCTTGTATTCAACTTTTGTTTAATATAATGGATCATTCATACGGAAAAAAAAAAAGTAAAACTATATTGTGCATATAGACATTACATATATGGATATACCCAGCTGGTTGTACTGAGAGACCCTCTATTCCAAGTTCCAACCAATGTGGGTCACAATGCTTTGAGATAGATATTTCGAGATTTTCAAATTTGCAGCTGCTCTGCTTTGAACAAAATTTCAAAAATTAAAGATGAGCAGAAATAAAATATTACTAAGAATTAAAGAACTCACCAAACCTTAAGAAATATACTTAAATTCAAGAGGCTCGCAGATTCCTTACATATGTACACAGAACACAGTAATTCACCAACAAAAACGTTCAATAAATATGAGAAGCTTGAGTTCGAAATGGACAAAGTAAGAGCATAGGATAAGTCATAAGTGTGATAAAGAAACAGATTAAGGGAAAATATTAGAATACTAATGAAGTTATAAGCAAAGGACTAGAAGAGTCATAGAAAACTCCATGACCTATAATCAAAAAAATGGTCTATGGATAACAAATATTCAACCTGACTGGTTTATGGAGTTGATGCTTCGTAGTCAAAGATTCTGTATATCACCAAGAAACAAGAAAGAGCTTCACAATCATTGTTGCTAAAGATTCTTGAAACATAATCACCATTTTTGTCCACTGCTTACTACAAATCCAACAAATCACATTTCTTTTGACTAAACCACTGATTTTTCCTGTGATTAAGAAAATTTATAGAACCAGCGAAACAGAATTTTATATCTCAGACGAACTTATTGAGATTAAAGATCAAGCACACAAATTCAATTCTACGACCTAACCATTTACTAAAAATGGAGAAACCCAATTAACAAAGTAAAGGCATCTATAAAAAAATTCAGGGACTTAATCAGACACAAAAAGGTCTGAAATTTGGTCTTAAAACTTAGCACACAGTTTCCAGTAACTTGTGATCATTATCTTAAAATAAAGTTCAAATTTTTAGATTAAAGATGACATCTTTATCAGAAATTTACAAACTCAAAATAGAGATCAAATATGAAGTAATCAAATTGTACCCGGATTAACACAGATCTAAGATTGATTCAAGAGGTTAAGTGATCTATAAATCATTTTTGTTCATCATCAAAATCAGTAATTTCACACAAAAATAGTTGAATCGGCGTTCAATTTTTGTCAATTTAAAGCATAAATAGACCAGATTTCGAAATTCAAAAAAAAAAAAACCCTAAAACATTTCTGAGTCAATTTCTTCGATGAAGACGATAAAGAAACAGAGAGCAATTTACAAAATATTAAAAGAAAAATTAATGGAAAAAAAAAGAAAGAGAAGAGGAATGTTTCTCTGTTACAGCTGTCTTCTTTTTCTAAACGACAGACCAATACAATGATTCCACGTGGATTTACGCATCACAATTTAAGGAATCGGGCAAGCTGTGACGGGTTAACGATACCGGGCAAGTGGGTCCCATCTACCCGGAGTATGTTAGCAACCTCCACATACCTCCTCCGTTTATGATCACTCGGCTCTATCTCATGGCTCGGCTTAGTTTTTCTCGTCTCAGTACATTGGGCCGTTAATGGGCCGGCTTGGGCTCGAGTAGGATTCCAAAGCTCTCCGAAGAGTGTGCCATTGTTGAGAAACTCATGAGCCAAGTAACCGGCTAAGAGCTTGTTCGAACCAACCGGCTCGGCTACGGCTGCGGCGGCGGTGGTTGTTGGTCGAACGATGGTCGGAGTTTTCTTGAGAATGGATTTAGTCGGCGGCGGTGATGGATTTATCACGGCGGATTCCGTTTGTTTGCCGGCGACGGCGCCGGAGATAACTCGGCGTGGGGGAAGACGCATCGTTTTTGTATTCATGGCTGTTTCCTTTTAAGTGCATGCCACGTCAGCGACAGTAATTTTTAAAATTAATTACTGCGGAGTATTTTTTGACAACCCGAGAAGGCTTTTTTTATTATCTCTTTTTTTCTTAATTTAAGAAATAATAAAATTAGAAAAAGAGAGGGAGAGAGAGAGAGAGAGAATAAGACGATTTGGGAGAGAATGGAGAAATGAAAGGACAAGGAGAATTTAAGTAGGGTTACAACTATATATAGGAGAAGGAAGCATAAATTACCCTTTAATATTGCCAAATTTACGAACAATGCCATCCATGAGTAAATGACTTAAATGCCCTTTCTTCTTTACCATATCTTCTAATTTGGGTTACCAAATAGAACAAGTAAGGAAAATGTGAAAGAGCTTTTGGGGTAGAAAAAAAAGGAATCTGCTTTTTTGAATTTGTTTTCTCTTAATCTCATAAATAGATTCTGATTATAGGTTTTTGATTTTATTACCAAATGATATGTGAAGTTTAATTTTACAAAAAGAAGAACTTAATATAAATTATTATTTTAAAGCTTTAAAATGAATCCAATCAAACTTTAGAAGTTTTGGCTTTTTTTTTTTCAAAGCCAAAATATTTCCTTAATTCAATTTTTTTTTGCTATAGAAAACATTTTTTCTAAAGAACATAATTTTTAAGTTTTTAAAGTTTTAAATTCTACAGCCAAAATACTACATCAATAAAATCTACAACCACAACCAATAAACTTACAGTCATAACTCTACAGCAAAAAAAATGTAAAGCTACAGTTGGTATCAATCAGGCCTATAATATGTTAAATTAATTTATGTTTATTATATATAACAAACAAATAATGGGATTTAAAAATCAACTAGTAGTACTATATATGATAAAATATTTACTAAAATTAAGAATTTTCTTTTTCAGATATTATTAAATTTTCTTTTAATTATTTTTTGTTCTTTGAATCTTTTCATCCTAATTCGTAATTTTTTTTTAATCTTAGCTAATGACGATTGGGGATTTCTCTTAGTTATCAAACATGAGTCAATCACTAAACAACATGTAACTAATGAATTCGCAAAAGAAAAAAAATTATACATCAACAATAAAAGATGACTTCTTATAAACTCATCATATTATACATGAGAGTAGACACATCCCACCTTCATGTTCATAATCACAATTCGTTCTTATTTTCATATAATTAGCTACTGATAATACGTGACAAATACATCTTCCGAGAAAGAAGTATGGAAAACATCTTAACGTTGAGCTACTCTCACGTATACACTAGAGGCATGTTAAAGGGAGTTAGCGCACCAAACCTTCCGCACACATTGTTTATCCTGAAAGCAGAAATGTGGATAATCTTACACCCTTAAAAATTCGAATACCTAGTATTCGACCTCGTTAATATCATTTCCTTATAAATATGAATTCTCATGAATCCTAAAGAAGATTTGGTCACAAACCCCATTTAATGTATGATCAACCAATCAATATAATACTTAAGGAGATAAACATGAATCTTTTCATCCAATTCTCAAATAAACTCACCAAAATCATATGCACATACCAATTTTTCAACACAATTTTCGTTCTAAAGTTTTAGCATCTACATACACTCTGTATAGTCAAACATATGCATCTCTTTAAGTTCGCCTCACAAAAAATTGCTCTATTCAACCCCTTTTCTATTTTATACTCATTTTCGTTTCTCTTTTAATTTTTTATGAACCTTATCTGAGTTTAGCGATTGAAAGTTCTTATAAAAGCAACCCCTCGTTGTTTTGAGTGATCTTAACGGCTTTTTCTTTGGTGAAAGTCATTTTACTTCTCATAGACCGACTTTCGACAATCTGTACTATACGTCCATCTTCATAATGATGAAATTTGATGTTTTGCAAAAAATAATTCGGAGTTAGTAGGAGGAGAGTATTGATTTATTGTGCCAATGAGAACATTTTCAATGTAACATCTAAGCAAATGAAATTTAGATATGTCTGAGCGGAAATATGTGGAAACATGCAATACCCACAACAAAGTTGGTCGGTTCATAAATTTAGGATCAAGGAATCATCCTCAACAAAAAGTATCAAGTGGCAAGGCTAGCAAACATCCCTCGAGAATGCTCGAGGTACATAAGGTGTAAGCGCTAAGCAAATAGACCCGTGACAATAACGATAGAAAGAATAATGTTAGATTATTCATCAGATAGTCGATAAAGATCTGATATGATCACAAGACAATTTCGGAAGATGAGAATGATCTTGAAACTCGGGTCAAGCAAAATATTTTGATTGTTGACAAGAGTTGTGTCTAGTTTTTTAGCCATAAGGTTAACAAGTTGATTATTAGTCCATTGGTTCATGTAAAGAAGGGGCCTTAAGACTTGGATCAAATATTCCCATCTAGTCAAAGTAGTCAATAATTCTATCATCTAAGAATTATGGTGGTTAAATACATGCCAAAATTTTTAAGATCGCTAAAAATTGAAATCACTTTCAAATAACCAAGACATTCAAGTTCAAAGAGTAATGCTGTTGCAAAGTCATAAGTTTTACTTATATGCATGTCCTCTCTTATTGATGATTAGAAGCATAGGTTGCATGAATATATAAAATTTTCATTGTTTGCAATCTCAACTTCACATGTAAGATACTACTTCTTAATTATTGGAGGATTCTAATTAATAGATGCATGACTCTTCCAAATCAGAATAATTCTACCAACTTTATATATATGTAATTTCATCCTTGATAGGTTCTAAACATCACATAGTTAAATTGAATCTGTAACTCCATAGGTAAGTTGGTTTAGAGTAACTAATGAATGAAGGGTTGATGTCTATTGTTATAAATTAAAACTATACGAACTTTTAAATCATTAACCATCCAAAGAATTCAATGAATGCAAGTATTTTAACATATTCATGATCCTTGCAAGATTGTTGCGTGTACAATACAATAATATAGAGAAATACACACATTTAATTTACACACAACTACACGCTAAATTTTGTTAAAGTAAAATTTCAAGGTCAAACTTTTCCATGAGTTACTTTTTTCTTCTTTTGTCATAAATACTAATGCAGATTCTTTTGTAATTAGTAACCAAAAAGAGGTGGTTTATTATAACGATATAAGTAATCGAACAGATCTAAAATCTAATTCCAGCAAATATGATCAATTAAAAAAATTAAAATAAAGCTGGTAAAAAAATAATTATATATATTTAAACCACATTATATACAAAATTGAACTCGTTATTTTCACTTTAAATACTTTCTTTTGTCAACTTCACCGAGTTAATTAATTTTAGCAGATTAGAAATTCAATCCAGGAAGTATTGTTTAGAAATGATGATAAAATCACAAAACTAAGCCTCATAATTACTCATCAAAGCACTGAAGGAATTTAAAACCAAGTTTGAACTAAAAATTAAACATGTTTCAAAGAAAATATATTATTTATATACTCCTTCTATATCATAAAGAATGATTTTAGAGGTTTTATTTTTGTATCAAAAAGATTGAATTTTTGTAAATTTTAATCAATTAATGTTAATAAATTGTAAACTTCAAGAATCATTAATTGAAAATTTTAAAATTTGATGAATTACTATTGGTTAATAGTTAGAAGAAATGGTTTAGTATGAATAAATAGTGCTTTTATAACTAAACATTAAATGTTTTTCTTAATTGGTTTGAAAACTCTAGCTATAAAATCAAGTTTTTTGATACAGAGGGAATATATAATTAGAAGATTCGGCCGAGGTTCATACATCTCTTAAACCTAGGCTAACCTTTAATAATTTACCAATATTATTCGGTACTCGATCATGTAACCTTTTGTATTATCCTAGACTCCTAGAGTACTTTTGGAGTCGAGACCTCAGATCAAAATCCTACTAGATAATTTTAAACTGTCGATTACAAAATTTAAATTAAACTCTCTCTCTCTCTCTCAAGGTCTTGCTCGATCTTCGAACTTATAACACGATGCACATTGGACTAAACTCATATAAATGTCCCTTTAGTACTTCACCCAATTGAGACAATTAAAGCTGGGAATCAAAATTAATCAATACACTTAATATTGGGGCACTAACCTCTGGATAGACTAATAGACAGTACTTGTATGGATACCACTTTAATCATAGAGTTATAAACCGATTTAATATAACAAACAAAAATTGTAAAACTATGATATCAAATAGAACGATAGGTTTAAATATATCACCCCTATCAGAAATCATTGATTTCGGGTAGTTAGGCGTCAGTTTGCCAACTCAATTAGATTTAATTACATTCAATTGAATGTTATAATAATGTCAATAGTTAAATAACAATAAACACGAAAAATGCATGCCTTTAATTTACTTCTAAGTATAGCAAAGGACCTACTTTGAGGGACCATATAACAATTGGTTTCGCAATCCTTCATATCAAACACATGTTCAACCAAACCATCGAAATCTCAACTTCTGTGACTTATATTGAAAACAAAAATAGAAGTGATTAGAAGAAAAGAAGATGTAGATAAGTAACTATATGTGAATGTGATTATCAAAGAGAAAAATATCAATAAATTTAGAAGTTATTACGTTACGAATTTATCAATAAAATGAAACGTTTTTCACTATGTTTCTCTTGACAATCATTTTTTGTCCTCCCATCTTGTATAAAAATTATCTAGTTCAAAGATTAAATTTTTGACAAACTTTATAAATAATCCGATGTTAAAAATAACTAAGAAATTTCGAGTTTGATCTAGAATCTATATATATAATGAGAGAGTTTCTCTCCATCTAAGGTGTCCACATCAGCATCCATGTCATCATAATTTATTTTTTTGTGGGCTCTACATATTTTATTTATTAAAACAAAAACATTAAAACTAAACTAATTCACACATTAAATAAAAACAATAATTGACAAAAATTATATGAAATATTATGAAAAACGAAAAAATAAATATACAACTTAAAATATGAAATTTTTGAATAGAGATTGAATATATATAAATTAGATCAT